TTTTTTTTTTTATTTTTAGTAAAAAGTAGGCAAGCGTAGCTTCAATATTCCTTATATGGCGCCACGAGCCAATGGAATCATTTCAGAGAAGCATGATTCATCGGGGTTCCGCAATAACGAAGCCGAAGATTTCTCCTAATAATCTTTATAGAAATTTTATATACAAATAACGTTCTACGTTCACGTTAATCACGGCGATCTTCTGTTTCGTCAGTGAAAAGGATATTCTCATTAAACGGATACTATGGAAAATATTTTGATCACTTTCGTTCTCTAAATCTCTAAGTCTCTCAAAATCAAATCTATAATAGAATTCAGATTCTATCCGTTTTGCGATAAATTCGCTTAGACGTTTACACTTCTCCTCGTGTTAAGTGATTTTTGTCGGTCCCAGATAATTTCCAAGATCGCGATATAAATGTATTAGAATTTTCCATTTCGTTTTCTATAGTAACATAAGTAGTAGGTACTCTAGTAAGTGAGCGAGCGTCGTACGCTCGAGTTGTATATACTTAATTGCTGTTTTAATTGTCTCATCAAGGCCCTCGGTACGTTATTCTCGATTTGGTTCTAGGCATCCTTGGTGAACGCTCATGGCGAACCTTGCCTCGAGTACGGATGTCCAGGACGACCACAGTACGAGCCTTTTGTACCCGCACCTCCGGGGCACACTCCAAATTGCGCAAAGCCGGGACAAACGTTCTGTGAAAGTCTCGATCATTATCCTCGGTAAGAAGTAATAAAAGAAGAAGTTTATGAATCGCGTGATAATACGCAGTTGGTAATACGCAGGGAAACGCGATTTTTATCCTAAGGAGAATTCAGTGAAATGATGAAAGCCGAATACATTGTGTAGCTTTGAGAAAGTCATAGATTATGGTCTAAAGGTTTCACACCTTGAATTTAATATTTATTTGCTCAAATTGTTTAATTATTTTTTTTTCGAAACGTTCATTTCGGATTCCTTCTGCCCGAGAGATTCTATTTAAATCTATCTTTCGTTATTGTTCTCAACTTACAGCCGGCTTGAGGAACGAAGTTGAATATTCGTGTCCTCGTTTTGTTAGTTTTTGAATAATTACCAAAGGCTGAGAAATCTCTGTGATCAGCATTTGAAAAGATCGCTTATCGAAGGCTACGTACTGAATGTAAATTACACCATCTGTCGATATGTCTTCGAAGAAGTTTTTTTTCTCTCTTTTTTTTTCAAGTTAAATAACCAAGAAGCACGAGTCACTCCTTTTTTTTTTATTTTACCGCGTTGTAAATGATCCTTGAAGTTTATGCACCTGTCAACCTACTTGCAGATGATAAAGACGTCGTTTCCATCGCGAGGAATACGTCTAAAAAAAAAAAAAAAAAAAAAAAAATAAAAATGAAAGGATAAATTGGACATTACACGGATGCCGGATGAGTTTTTGCAAGACTGGCGAAAAAGAGGTGTCTCGTTGTAGCGTGCTACTTACGTACACACAATGCTCGTGGGATAACCGAGCATGGCAGATCTGTGATGTCAGGCCTATTATCGTATTTGCATGATAATGCTACCTCTTAATATTGTTGCGCGAGTATCAGACACTATCGTTTCAAGGTATCGGTCGTTTCTGTTCGTCCTCGGTCAATTAATTACTCAAAACGATCGAAAGAATTGGATCATTGTCGCGCATGAAGAGCGAAGATTCGCTCGATCGATTCCTTGAGTCAAGAGATCCTTGTACGAATCCAAAACAAAGAGTTATGAAAATGAATTAATGACTGAAAATGTTAGATTTCATGCTCGATGGTATGAGAAATATTTTGTTTGCTTTTCTAGTTTCTCATTCGTCTTCGTTTAAGAATAAGTTTAAAGACTGTAAGATAATATTTGGAAAAATAATATAAACAACGATAGATGTAGAACAATAGCAGCAATTTTTTTGTAAAAATCATTCAATCGATCATTCAATATTCAGAGAATATTCAACATTTTCTGCAAGTTTCCATGAAATTTTTAGACTTCGAAATCACGTATGTGCAACATCGGGTTATCGAGTGCCGAAAGAAAGATATTCGACGAGGGCTTAAGCTATCTTTCCCCGAGTTTCCAAAAGTATCGCATCCGCGGAATTTGTAAAAATATGGTTCACCGTCTGGTTATTAATATTCCCAACGTGACGAGCGCCGCCGTTCCTGCATACAAATCAGCTGATCGTGCGTGGCGAGACGAATTTCAGGAAGGGAAAGTTTCCAGGATAGTGAACTTGCTTAAAATTGCTCTGATAATATCCTCGAGTTCGTCGTAGTTCTTGCGTCATTCGACTTTTTATTTTATTCCGTTCCACCGAAAAACGGTTTATTCGATGCCAAAAGTACGTGGCGACAGTAGAGAATGATTGCACCAGTATATTAAAAATTCGTCAGAAACAGTTAAAATGTAAAAGTAAATATTTCCTGGCAGAGTATCCTCCGTAACAATTTTCTTCCAATTACTTTTATTTATAATACTTCCTTAAAAAACACTAATAAGAGCTAGAATAGCATCGTAGAATATATTAGTTTTAATCGCGCTGGCGATCTCTCATTCTTTTTATACCGCAGCCAGATCGATTCGAAAGCGACAAACGATTACGTAAAAACGGACGTCATTTCGATACGTTTTATTCTTTGATCAGCGTAGCGCGACCGTGGCCTTGACGCGGTCATGCTCTACTAGATAATTATCGGAACCGTTACGGATTGGACTGATAGCAGAAACGTTTCGACGTTCTACCATGACTTGTAAGGTTGTTTGCGGAACGTGACAGATTTATCGACGCGGTCGATCGCTCCCAGTCATCGCTATGGATTTTCATACGATACCGGACGCCATGTCTGTTACGACGCATCCATTTCCGTGCATCTGCTTTTATCGGGCAGCTCCCGCTGTTCGAAAGATTTATTTATCGTGCTGCAAGAAGCATCGATCGATACAGGATGGTAGGTTACGGAATACATCATTCCTCGAGGACGACAGAAATGTGAAAGAGCTGTCATGAAATGAAGAAAGTGGCAGAGAATAATTGGTTACGTTGATAAGTTGCAAACGGCGTATTCTTCAAGGTGTTAACCAGCTTGAACAAATCGAAGATGCTTGTCCGCGACGTGAAAGGAATTCCATATATACACTTCCGACATGTTTGAACAAATATATAAAAACGCCGTACTCGACGAACGGCCAGTTACTTTACATACTTTCTATTGAAACGACATTGTGCAATTTTGCAGAACCTCCATGAAACGAAATTGTGCAATTGTCAAGCTAGTCTAGAAAGTTCGTCCGTCTTCCAAACAGATTTCGGCCTCTGCGTTTCACGAATATAAAGAGAAGAAAAGAAAAAAAAGAGAAAAAAAAGAGTTCTCAGTTTCTTGCAGTTCTTAATGTCTTGCGATTTCTTCTTTACTCGTTTCATCCATCATCCTTAATTGATACTGTCGCCGGATAATATTAACATAGCGTATCGATGTAATGCATGCTAGAATACGGTGCTCCGCAAATCATAAATCTCGATAGATGAACGCGATCAATTACGGCGAATTGGTATTTACGCGCATTCGTCAAAGAATACGAGAGAGATTTAAGGAAACGATAATTGCCGGGTGTTTATCGTTGATGAACGAGTTTCTGTTCTGACGACGCGACTGTATGCCGTAACTGCAATTGTGTGTGCGGACGCGTGGTAACGCGGCCTGCATAACAGGAAACGTTAATACCTCGCATTGTCCGCTATTTCTCGGGCGGATTTTCATCCAGTTCAGTATTTTCCTCTCTTAATTATTTCAACGATATTTCGTTACGTTTATTCGTAGACAAAAACATTTATTTTTAGAGAGAAAATTATTGACAAACATTCGATAACAAAAAGAAAAAACTAGGAGTGTAAAAAAATCAGAAAGTCAAAGCGATCTCTCCTGTCGAATGACCGATTCGAGGAAGACGGACGAACGATAAGGAAGGAACGTTCGAAAGTACGTTGATCAAATATAATCGACGATGATATCGAAATTGTGAGTTAAAACGTGCTATTGGGATTCGAGGTCAATCTCTGTCTCCACCGATTTCCGTTGTCCATTGACGGATCACGCGCGTTCGAAAGTTGGCCGGGCTCCGTAGAAGCACCGGCGACACTGATCGAGATGCAGCCCGCGAGAAAACAGCTTTTAGGCGTGAACCATGAATTAAACATCTTCTTATATACATATCCTCTAGTCATAAGTCTTTCACCGTCGGAGAAAGTTTTAAGATTCGCGGATCTTCGATCACGCACGAAATTCGTGCGCGTGGTTTGCGTGGATACATCGTGTCGGATTTTTCGATTTTTTTCTTTTTTTTTTTTTTTTTTTTTTTTTTTTGTTTGAAAACTTCAATTACTGGATCTTTCAATTCGTCGATGTCTCGTTATTTCGTCTTGTGAATATATAATTATTCGAATACACGTTTCTCATCTCGTCCATTTCAATCGAATGCTGTCTAAACTGTCGCCTTATTTTAAGAAGCGTAAAGTATCGCTTGCTTTCATCTCTTTCTTCTTTTATACTTTTCTCAGAAATGTTAACCTACAGTAGAATTTATATGAACTTGTTGAGAGGCAAATATAGTTTATATAACTAGAGTTACAAGAGTCCGCTGATTCTCCCATCTGCTAATTCGACTTTCGTTCGAAACACGAATTCAGGTTCAAATGAGTGGAGTTTCCGAACTAGAAATCTCTTCAGAGAAAATAGACGTTAACATTTTAAATTCCTCTTCTCGAAATGAATGAGAATGGCGGTAGAAGCACTCGTTATTCAATTATTGAATTTTTAAATTTCCGTCCGGAAATGGTTATGATATATATGAAGAACTTCTACAGGTCGTAGAACCTTGCTTCCGCGAACTCGTGAATAATGCATGGGATAGACAACCAATTTTTTATTCATTTCTGAAACGATTCTATTCAAGTTAGGTCGAGAAATCGTATCCGACATTTGGTATTATGATAAGCCTTCATTTGCATCGAGTGATTACGGGTCGAAGATCATTTGGGAGAGGCAATTGAAAATTTACACTGTTGTTTCACTTTCTTTTTCCTTCACGTTTTTCATCGCCCCTCTCTTTGTTGCAGACAGTTGATCAAATTTCTTGTGGACAAATGCAACTTTGACTTCAATTCCGCATTAAGAGACGAGTCGAAAAAGGACTTCAATGATTACAGGTACGCCTCGTAATTCTATTTTATACTTGGACATTTATAGACTAGCCATTGTTTTGCAATATCGCGCGTCATACTTACAGAAAATAATCTTTAAAACAAGGTGATCCTGTTTGTTTTTTGTCAAGATGCAGTAATATCGTAGATTTATCAATCTTTTATGGTCAGATCTGTGTCAAGAAAAAAGACCGCATAATGCACTCATTAAATTAATAAGATATTCGTAATGCGATAAGTTAAGGCCTCCACGATCTAGTTATAACTTTCGAATAAAATATTTATGAGCCAATATTTATACAACATTTTTTCCATACCATAGAATATTCTGATATCATAATATTCTGATATTACTCATATTTATAAGAATGAGATATAAATGAGAAATATTCTGATACTTACTCATAGAATATTTTGATATCATTCAACGGAAAAATCTTGAAATCTACGTCTTGTCAACGTCTTTACAAAAGAAGGGCCATTTTTCCAAATCATCTTATTCGTCTTATCAATCGCGAATTAAATCAATTATCCTATCGTAATCAATTCATCAATCAATTTCTGTTCAAGGTCGATGCCGGATTACTCCGAGGGTTATGATTACCCGGCGCAGGGGGAGGGTCAGTTTCACTCGTTACCATTTTTGCCATCGACACGATATCCCGTTCGAGGGCATCCGCCGCTCATTTATGGAGCACCGTCGAACAACACTCAGCAGAACGGGTAATTTTAATGCTAATTTCGTAGCAATGAAATTGTCAACTAAATCGTCCGCTCTTCATCGTATCCGTCTGTTTGTAGCTACAAGTATACGACACCAACTCACAGGAATCCGTTTTTCAACAGCGAAGCGACACCCGTCAAGCTTCATCCTACAGAGCAACGTGCAGTCACGTCGGATCGCCCTTTTTATATGACTTTTGGACAGGATCAAGCGTGGTGGGCGAACAGGTGGTTGTTTGTAATGTTGAATTTTCGGTAGAACCGGGGAAAAAAATAAATTGGATTTTCAATTAGCGTTGTTAATTAATTCTGTAATTGTAGACGTTTGTTAGAATAGTCAGAATCGAGTTAGAGATAACAGAGTGTCGTAGAGAATCTGTATTTATATGTACTTCTGTATATGGTTGTTCAGATACGTTAGAAGCAGTAAAGCTCCACCACGTACGTTGCACGAAAATCCGTTATTGAAATACAGTAAATCGAGTAAGGAGCGTAACAAGAGGCAGTCAAATCCGGACGCGATCCCACTCTGCCCGACGGAGACGCAATACATCATTCCGAGGGCGGCTTTGAACAACCAAGGAAATTGGATGTACGTGGTGAATCTTCAAGATAAGAACCGGAAATATTCGCAGGTAGTGAAGAGTGAGAAATGCACGTGAGTAGATTTATTTATAATTCTTATTTAAATTTCGGAATTCAAGTATCTGTCGATGTCAATGTGAAAAAAGTTGAATTAAAATTTCTATAGAACAATTTGATGTGATTTCTCCATAGTATATATATTCTCTGGCTCGCACAATTAGAGACGAAATAATTGAGAAATATTTAAATATTTATAATCCTTCATTGCGATTTACTAGAATTTTGTAATATAATATTTATAATATTTCCTCAGGATGAATGTATGCAACGGTATCTGTTCCGTTCCTGCGGGATACACCAGTAAATGTCAGCAAAAGTTTATCCAAAAGCGATTAGTAGCGTTGGAAGGAAGCGGAAACCAGTTGTACACCGACGTTTTCTGGTTCCCCCATGGTTGCGCCTGTGAGGTTATTGCGAATTATTGAAAGAATGTACCACAATGGATCACAGAGTCTGAAAAAAATTCCACTTATAGCCAAACTCTGATTGTACGTGCTCATCAACGACAAGATGCTGTCTTCGTGATAGATTTTGAAATTGCAAGATCATGATAACTCGATCGACGAAAGAAATGAAAAAAAAAAGAAAAGAGATGAAAAGAATTTGAATATATCAACAATTTCAAAGGAGATCGAAGGAGCTTCATTTTGTACGGAAGGAAAAACGAACTTTGGAATATTAATTCTAAACGTAGTTACACGACTTTTATATTTCGTATTTTGCTATATTTTTTTTTTTAATTTTATTTCAATCGTTTCTTTAGCAACATCTAAATAGTTCGATTATTTATAAATATTTATAATCTACGAGATACACACATTTTTGTGATTTTTTTTTCTATAGTTGGTAATGTAGGTTATATGAATACGTATGCATATAAATTAATCGATACATATCCGTGAATTTATAATTACAATTTTTGCAGGAATAAATCTTGAGAATTAATCGTGAGATACACGTGTAAAAATCATGGAAGAGCAAAAGCAAATTTTAAAAGTTCACTCATACGGGACATGTGCATTGCTTTGTCGATAGATGTCACTACCTGCCCGTCAAGAGATGCTTATGTCACTTATCTCGAAATTTAAATATTCCTCGCTCAAAGTGGACGAAGTGTGCACGGACGACGTACAAACAAAATCGTACGTGTCACGCGCCATTATTTCATTTTCTCATTCTATCACTAATTGATACAG